CAGTCTACCGTCTCTCCATCTAAATCGTTATCTGAAATATAAAGTACAGTATGAAATAAAAATAAAACCATTTTCAAATTTAGTTTTAAAGTGACATTATGGTCAATACATAATAATAATAATAATAATAATAATAATAATAATAATAATAATAATAAGCTATCATTGTGAATCTGTCTATATTCCCCAAAAGGAAGTTACAATTAATTCTCTTGATTAATTGTTAATATAAATTAACTGGTAATATAAAAATGTAAGTAAGTGTCCCTGCGCAGACCTTACAGCTCTCATATTCGAAAATCCGACTAAGTAGGTGGAATGGTACAAATGTGTACCTTCCATTGTTTAAAATCCCTTTGAGCGGGAAACAAGTTAGATGCGATAAATTTTGCTTAGAAAACGATTTTGTTAATAGCTATATTTACATACTAGCATGTTTTGAGAAATTATTGATTTTTTTTACATTGTTGTACACGGTTCGTCACTATTTATTGATAAAACACTCGAATACCGCAGGCAGACAGACGTTGAACATTCCACCAACAGTCTAAATAGTCCACATTTGTACCTTTCTTTGTTTAAAACTTAGCTAACTGCTATCTTTCGCCCATGTTAAATCTAGCTCTTCGGACTTTTGCTAACTCTACTGTAAAATTACACGTTGTAATTTTTATAAAAACACAAAATCACACCCGACTTACCTCTAAATCTTTGCGCCTCGTCGTCTGACACATCAATGCCTTCTTCCATCAACCTTTTAAGGAGCTCCTCCGTGGATAACCCCCTGAGAGTCATTTTCTGCGTCAACGCTAGTCAGCGCGGAGGCGGAGCACTCATCGCTGCTGCCTTTTCGGCCTTTGGGATTAATGCGCGTTGCGAACTTGACACATGAAAATACAACATTGTGGTATTAATGCGCAGTTGTTTAGAAACCGTTATGCTGTCTTGGCGAACTATATTTGTAACTTACAAAATGTAGTCACCGTAACATAAAAATCTGCTTGACATTTTAACTTCCAAAGAACCTCGGTTTAACTTGATGTTGCAAATTCCATAAAAACATCACAATTAATGAACAATTCTAGGATGTAGTAAAAGCAAAAAAGTAAATGGCCAAACATAACAGTAAAATGATTTCACGTTTTTGAAAGATTTAAAACATTAAAAAATTATAACTGGAACTTAATAAAATGGAAATGGACCAGTTTTTTTTTAACATCATTTGGTTGTGCCTGCATGTCATTGTGTGTGTGTGTTTTTTAATATAATTTAACATAACTTACACAAAGGTAGGTTACAGATATTCTTTGCATCATAGGATAATTTACGTAGAGAGGAGAGGACCAACAGATTTGATTATAACATGTAGCTTTTATGAGCACACTCACATCTCATATGAATTTTACAATTAACCAGGCCCATCCAGATTTTCCCATGCTGACCCATTACCACATTCTGCCACTGTCACTGCAGTACAGGTCAAAATGGTACAGATTTGTACTTTATTTCAAATTGTACCTTTAAAGGGGCGTTTCTGGACTTTTAAAGACCAGTATTGTACTTTTAAGGGAACATTTTAAAAAAATGTACCTATAGGTACAAAAATGTTCTTCTCTCGTACCTCTATTTCTGAGAGTGTATAGGGCAAAATGTGGTTGAGCTTGTAACTGTATGTGTGCCTGCAAAATAACAGTTTTGTACAAGATGTGCTCGAGATGATCAGATAAGAGAAGAAGAGAGCTTATTAAAAGGGTGTCAAAGGTTGTCAAAAGTGTTGTTTACCCAAATAAATAAAATTGAAGATTATATATATGTATAAATGATAGACCCTAGAACATGATAGGTTGAACCAAGTTTAAATAATTAAGAGAACAATTGATGAACATAATTATGGAGGCATAGCAGGGAGAGGTGTTTTGTTGATCCTTTACAGGAGATTTCCGGACCATAGCAAAAATCACGGAGCGGTTGGCAAGAATACAGGAAGGACCAGACCGAACGGAACTAGAAGAAAGGGGCACCCAAAAGAAGAACAGAGAATCGCACAGTTTCAGAAAGTTTGTTGTGTAGGAGATTAAAAGAACCGGAGTCAATTTTTAAAGAGGAAACAGGTTAACGTTATAGAGGCATTTTCCAAAGAGTGACAAAAGTAATGTAGGACCTTTTACCAGAAAAAGTTAATTATATCTGTTTGGATTCTACCGTGAGCAGTGAGGGAAGTCAGAAGTGGATTTAAACTCGGATTCTACTTAAAAAGGGGGTAATACTTAAGGGAGGACAGTTCACAGCCCGCCACAAACGTGAGGTGCTCTCTAAGAGCTTGGTCTTTGTTATATTTTAGCTATTAGTGTCACATGAAAGTAAAACTTAATGGGATAAATTAGGGTGATGTGGTAAATGGGATAAATTCCCCTGGCTGGTGTACTCCCTTAATTCAGTAGTCCAGGACTTCCTGCTCTCAACTCTCCACCTCCACTCTCCTAATCAGGTTGCTCACCAGCCCGGTCAGCTGGTGGATGCACAGCCTGACACGCCGGCCCCGACGTCTACCCGGAAACGACGTTCGCGCCTCACGTTCCTCACCGCAGTCGACTTCCCGGACATCTCAAGAGCCGGCTGTGGTGAGTAATAAGGACACTTTTTCATTTCTCACCTCATCTGCTTCTTTGTTTACAGTGGGTGGTGACACCGCCGACGCTGCTGTAAGGCAGCCAACAGTAGCTAGCGTTGCCTCATTCAGCAATCTCCACACTGCTCACTTCTTCACCATCTGTAGCAGTGCCACCTGCTACAACGCCACCCGGACCTGCTCGGCCCGAGCCGGAGGAGCTCGCGCTGCCAGCCGAGGAGCAGCTCAGCGAGCCGGAGGAGCTCGCGCTGCCAGCCGAGGAGCAGCTTAGCGAGCCGGAGCTGGAGCAGCTCAGCGAGCCGGAGCCGGAGCTGGAGCAGCTCAGCGAGCCACCAGCTGAGGAGCCAGCACCGCTGCAGCTCAGCGAGCAGGAGAAGCCAGCGCCGCTGCCGGTGGAGCCAGCGCTGCTGCCGGAGGAGCTCAGCTTTACCACCCCATTCACGTGGTCATCAAAGGTAAGTGCAGAATCAATCTTTACTCCAAGAGTTGTGATCAAATTTTTCAAATGAAGGGTCAGAACAGCGAAATCAACATCTGGAGGGTCGGAAAATCGATTTGTGCCAAATAAAATCGCTTTTGCAATTGTTAAAATTTAAAAAAAAAATTTAGCCATCCATGACTTATCATCACTAAGACAGTCAAGGAGAGGTCAAATTGGGAGGGTATCCACATGACTAAAAGGTAAATAAGGCTGGCAGTCATTAGAATATAAATGAAATGGCACTTTGTGTTTTCGGAAAATCACGTCAAGAGGGAGAAGATTTAGCAAAAATAAAAGTGGCCCAAGATCCCTGCGGCACACCCCAACACAGAGGGGCCACAGAGGATGAAGCCGACCCCAACATACAACCCGTTCTCACTCCCGACGCGTAAAATAATGACGATTTGTCACGTCCCTTAACTTCTCATGCTGACGCCTAAGGTACCCTTCCACGTTTTTATGTTACGCTGTGGGTTGTCAATTCATTCCAATATGAACCCGCTCGCGGCGATCAGAGACGCTTCGAGCAGAGGCTCCAGCCATCCATTTACTCCAATAATAACCCCGTCACGGCGAAACATGACGCCGTGAAGCACAATCTAACTGGAGAACCGGGGACCCTCTCCGCGAACGGGTTTTTCACCCTAATTTAATGCTTTCTTCTAATGACATCGTTAACATTTCTCAACAAAAACACGTGAAAGTATCACTGATAATTCAACAATAAAATCGCTTCATGTTGTGGCCATCACACAGTGTTTTCCAAACTGATTCACGATCTGAAAGTGCGCAGATTTAACGTACATAATCCTTTGTTAGGTTTATTATTTTCATTTCACACGTAAAACACATTTATAGATTCATTCACCACTCTTGTTAGTTTTGGATGCGCTCGGCTCCAACCAATCAGACCAATTTACGCAGACGCACTAATCCCATAACTGCACACTACCCATAATCCTCAACCGCCATCGCTATGGAAATGAAGATAACAACAGCTTGGTGCTACCCGTTATTCCTTTATTTACTCTAAAATAATAACCAGCGATAATACGAAATTAAACTGGCCCAGTGTTTAATTATGTAATTAAAAATTGCAAATTTTAGTATTTTTTTTTTACAAATTGCAATATTTATCTACAGCGCGCCTTTAGCGACACGTCAACAGATCTTAAGCAAGGCGATTGGATGGTTTTTACTGCAATGCATCTTGGGAGTCGTAGTAAATGTATCTTTCAACTCACGGTCCTGCAGCGAAGTTTTCGAGTGGACACGAGGCAGATCCTAGCTAAGGAAGTTGTGATAAACTGTGGGTAATTTGCATGTTCACTGAAATATTAATTTCAGTGATATTAAACTGATATTAAACTTGAAATGTTTTCACAGAGCAGTCTGTGTACCAAGAGAACTACTTCTGCAAAAGTTTATTTAATTTTTTTTGTGATGTTTTCTCATGTGTAAGACACTTGCTTGGCCACCCAGCTAATGTTAGTACTGCTCTATTTTAGCAATGTATCTTTTCTGTAATCAATTCAGGTTTTTTTTTAACCCTATTCACGTAATTAACTCAATATTAACGACTTTAATCTCATAATTGATTTTTTTTTCTAAATATGGTGTAATACTGCCTCGTAATATAAGTTATTTCTTTGGTCATAAATTATTTTTGTAATCGTTTCACCAAAACAGACCTGAAATAATCCCTACATGTTCCATTTTCATTTGCAGAAATGACAAAGCCAAAAACCAAACCATGCCCTTCCTGTCAGGCCCCAAACACCTGCAACAGGAAGACATGCAGTGGATGCCTGGGCAGCCTGAACGTAAAGGAGGGATTGAAAAAAAAACAGGAACAGTTTAAAAACAGTAACTGGGCTGCCTCTGTTAAAAAAAACAGAAATGCGAGCAGGGTGGTTAATTCAGCCCAGTTGTCAGTAAGTTTAAAAGTTCTGATCTAATAGGTGGTTGGTCTGGTAGACAATTCTTTATTAATCACAGTTGTCAATGTTTTCTTGTATATCATGAAGTAAGAAACTAACAAGACATGTATATACACATAAAATATTAATTTATAAAAGAGCATAAATAAAAAAGTTATTCACATCAGAATAACATCATCACACTAAAGACATCCAACTAGAAAAAACTTGTTAAAAACTATTTTTATTCAAGCTACTTCTGATTTTTAATTTAATCGGCTATTAACTGAGAGACAAAACATTTCAAGATGGATTTTATCATACATTTACAGGTTTGGTCACCATAAATACTTTTTAACTATCGACAACAATAAAACAACAAAGATGTGAAACTTAAAGGTTTGTTATACATCAATTTGCTTACATGAAAGACTGGCTGCATGTTTTTCTTTGTTGTTCTTGCAGGTTTCAAAGCTACATGCCCTGGGCTACCAACCAATTCTGTTTCTTGGACAGTTTGACCGTAAGGGCCGTATAGTAGGGGACGTGATCACTCAGATCGAACCAGCGGAAGGTGCTGCACGTGACATCCTCATGAAGATGAGGAAGCTTTATGAACACCTTCTGAGAAGTAAGATATGCTTTGTCCATTATCTGTAACCAGCTGTCCTTATCAGATAGCCTATCCTAGCTGTCTTTGGGTGATACTCATGGTACACCCTAGATAAGAAGGCAGATCATCACGGGGTACATAGAGACAAACAAGATGGTGAGGATGAGGATAGTTAACAGTCACCAGCTATTCTATTCTACTCTACTCTATTCTGTTCTATTCTATTATTCAGCCAAGGTTCAGACCAGTAACCTTCTTGCTGTGAGGTGACAGCTGCCCTACATGTCCTGTTGCTAACATGAAAATAGTGTTATATCTGCCTTATTACCTCCCCATGTGTCGGTCACATCACCAAAGCTAGCCATACTGAACCTCTGGTGTTACCCACCTGAACAATTTTGTATGTGTGTGTGTATAGTATGGTCTTTCACACTCATGTATATACAAATGTAATTTTAAAAATCTTCACGAAAACCAGACCTGATAATTCTCTTCGAGACTTTCTAGTATAACAAATGTTATATAATGTTACCAATATGAACACCAAGATTCTTAAATAACTTATATACTTCTTAAGAGGTTACCTGATTACCTCCCTGAGGTAGTTAGCATCACCATTGTACAAAACTCCTAAGTCACAGTACTAGCTTGAAGTGTCAAATGTTATTCACTACAAAGTCAGGAAAGTAGTGTCATCCGAGGAAAAAGTCATTATCTATCTGGATTTATAGTCACACTCATTAATTTTTTAATGTACAATGTAGAAAAGCACTACAGATGTCACACTACCCTAGAGGGCACTTGTACTGAATTATTTGGGTCAGTGAGTGTGCGAGATGACTTATTTGATGCCAATATTTACCAGTTGTATCTTTAGTAAAAACTTAACTGAAAACATGCAAATCACTACTTATTATGTATTTATGTGTACTGTACATTTTTTCAACCCATTTTAATGAATGTTTAATATTTAAAAATTTTTCAGAATTACAAGCTTCACCTCCTGCTAAAAGTTCTACACCAGCAGCTGGACCATCCTCTGCTGACAGTGTCGATGCTGGACCAGTCCCAGACCCAGAGGCTCTAAACGAGGAATTTATTCTTCATTTAGAGCCTGTACCAACATCTTCCCTCTGTCAGCCTCCTGCATCCTCCTCTTCATCTCTGCTTCCTCCTGCATCCTCCTCTCCATCTCTGCTTCCTCCTGCATATTCCTCTCTGTCTCTGCTTCCTCCTGCATCCTCCTCTCCATCTCTGCTTCCTCCTGCATCCTCCTCTTCATCTCTGCTTCTCCTGCATTCTCCTCTCCATCTCCACATCCTGCATCTCCCTCAATTTCTACGGTGTACACCTCGGATGTCCCAAACAAAAAAAGGACAAGGAAAGGTTAGACGTTATGGTATTGTAAATGTACGAAACACATGACAGGTTCGTTAAGTTTGTTAAGATTTCTTTTTCTTAATTTTTGCATTTTTTCCAGTTTTACAGAACTCATGTAAATATTTCATTTGTTATTTTTCAGAATGCCGAAAACACCGTACACAGAAGATTTTCAAATATGAAGAGATAGTAGACAGGAGAGTTGTAAATGTAAGTAATTTAGCCTGCTGTTGTGCAGATTTGTTTGCATCTTTGGACTTCCCGGATTTGAACTGTGCCTGACTGAATATCCATAAGCTTTTGTATTTGATGAATCTACACTAATTCAGCCACTGAGTCAGGATTTCACTCCAAATAGGACATTAAATAAAACAGACCACCTGATACGACCTGGTCGTGCTGCCTTCCTGATGTTTACGTTCTTTAAAGTCCTCCTGACATCATGCTCAGAAGGAGTGATTGATGTGGAGGTGCTCCTTCCCATTCAGTAACATCTGCTTCAGTTAGTTTTGCTTGTGAGCCACAATGTAAGCAGTGTTGCTTTGCTGACATGCACTCGATGCTGGCAGTACAAGCATTGTAGTGGTTCTTATGTTTTTGTAAACTAATTGTATAATATATTGAGCCATTCAATAGTACACAAATGTTTATAAGCTCCTTTTTGTATGCAACTTGCATGTCTTTCTTAATTAATTGTTTGTTTATATCATGTTTTTCAGGAAAAAGAAGAAGTTAAAGTCAAGTGGAAGCCTTGCTCAACATGGTATGTAGTAACAACTTTGTTGGACGGGAACAGACATTCATATTGTTGATAAATAGTTATCAACTCAATTTGAATTCATGTATTTGGACTAGAGTAAATTGGGAGCTTTTAGCTATCGAGCTCCTCTTCTGTGAGGAGCTTGATAGCTGTCCACCTCCAAAGTCCATTATGAGTTTTGGAGGTGGACATGGTCAACACTTTTAAGAGTAGGCATAAGACTTTACTTCTTTATAGAGCTTATAGTTAGGGCTGGTTCAGCTCAGCCCTTAGTTATGCTGTAATAGGACCAGACTGCTGGGGGTTAGTGTCCCCCCCCCCCTCTCTCTGTCTCTTTCAGGTTATGCAGGCTCAGTATTGGTTGAAGATGCAGTCACGTCTCCTTTTACTGAAAACTCTCCCCCTCTCCCTCACCACCATCTGTAAACATACATGTCTCAGTAATGCAGTTCATGCATGTTACTAACTAAACTTCTTCCCTGGAGTTTCTGTGCTCTCTCATCCAGCAGGTTCCAATGGATCGTGGCTGCTGCTGTGGTCCTGCTTGACATCTACTACATATATTAATACTCTCTGACTTGATTTGATTAATTTATATTACAATGAAGGTGTATAAAGCATGACATGAATATAGAAGATATTTCATCCTAAAAAATTGTCATATGTCACAACCTAAATTGTCCTATTTTGTGTGTGGTTGTCGTTGTTGTTTGTTATGTTTTTCTCCTGACAGTGGCAAAGTGTGGGATGACACATGGGAACCTGCGCAGTTTTACACACAGTAAACCAGGCACCACAGGTCGCAGAGATCGCACAGTTCACAGCTTGTAGTTCAGCATAAAAGTTCAAAATAAAATATTTACTATACATTTCAACCAGTGTCAGTCTCTGTTTCACTCTCTAATTGTGGCTTAAGTACCTAACACATTCATGAATCTGATCGATCAATAATATCTTCCCTGCACTCGACATCTCATAGTTTTACATATCAGCCAACATTATTGTCTACATCCTCATAAATATAGAAGTGACTTGCTTATTATAACATATTACAAGGTAAAGTAATACTGCACTGCACGTATAGTAAGTAACACCTACTGTGTATGGGAGCCTAAAGTGAAGTTAACTGCACCAGTACCAGCTTCAGAACATATTGTATATTATATGTTTCTACCTTTTTGTAATATGTCATGTTTAGATGCAGTGACAATTGCACATTTGGAGTTGTGGTCATATGTGGTCTTTATATACAGGGTATTAAAAAAAATTGACTTTTTTTGCTATTTTTCTTGTTTGTTTGCACAATATTATTGTGTACATATTACATATGTAACATTATTGTTAATATTATAGATATCAAAGATACAATTTGATTGAGGGTTTTCCTGTCATAATTTCAATAAAAATGCAATTACACACGTAAACAATAGGATCAAAATAAACTTTTAAAAAGTCTGTTGATCAAATGCTGATTTTCAAAACATTCTAGAGGAAAACAGAGATAAAATAATCTGAACAGTAACAGTGATTGTGGATGATGATGATGGAGGCTTCAATGGATTATTCTGTTTCAATCAATAGGTTCGTATCTATGACAATAATTTGATAAGTTTAACAGGTTGGTTTAGGCCTGGCAATACAGCAAATATTCACAAACTTTTGTTTTTGAAGAATGTTTATCTTTTTTGGGATGAAGCTATCTGGCAAAATGAGACAACCCTATTAACCTCATCTTTATGTCTTTTTTGTGGCTATGATACTGGATTTTGGTTTGATGCATATGCAGGTTACAGCTGGGGAATGGCAGTATGTTGTGGATTGATTTGGCATGTTCAACCACTGTTACACCAAACTCTCTCACTTATAACATGATAAAGGCCTCTTACTCAGTGTCATGGATTTTCTATACTTTTGGGGACACAGGGCCAAAGTCTGAGGCAATAACTCAGATCAAAGAAGGCAATGATTCTAAAATGGGAGTTTACTTATGTCATTATATATATCCAGGAATATGTGCCTGAGGATAGTTGTCATGAAATCAATATTAAATCAAAGTATTCCTTAATTACCACAGCTGACACGAGTTCTCCATAGCTGCCTGCTGTCTCAGGATCTGTCTCCAAAAAGGACCAGGGAGCGCTAACATGTTATGTTCTAAACTGATGAAGAAAATGCACATTAAACATAGTATAAACTTACTGAGTGAAGTAATGTCAAGAGGATTCCTTTAGCTCCTATTGGGTTGGTTCCTTGATCAATGCAATACAGAATCATTAATCTGGTTTTATGTAATGTCCTCAAAACATGTCAAAATGAGGCTCACTAGTCTGTGTGGCCTCCACATGCCTGTATGACCTCCCTACAACACCTGGGCATGCTCCTGATGAAGTGGCAGATGCTCTCCTGACGGCAAGCATGTCTGGAGTGCAGGCAGGGCAGCTAAAGCATGGCTCCTTGCACATCCTGTCCACCTCAAACTTTACAGCACTCCACTCCAAGAAACTTTTACTGAAGGCATCAGCTGATATTCGGCCATTCTTTTACATAGAGGACATACAACAGAATATTCAAGGACAGTCATCATAAACATTGATTTGCACAATTTCCTTAAACTTAGCAAATTTAGAAACTCACCCTTCCAAAATGGGCTGTTCGTTCATCCAGCATTTTGACAAATGCCTTGAGTGACATCCCTGGTGCAGCCTTCTTAATGTCATAGAAAGACTGAAAGACATCCATTGAAAACAGGGTGCAGAAATTTAAGGTGCCAGGCCAATATCCACTACCCAGGATGTCTTTAACTGAGGGGGACCACATTAGGCCACAGCTGGTGCAGCTCACCACTGGCAGTGCAAGGTTATAACGGCCTTTAGAAAGGATAAGGATAAATTCAGTCATGGCTCAAAGCATTCATTTTTTTCATGTTGTTTTCAAATCGGTCTGGTAAATCCAAATGACCTTTGACAGGTGCCCACATATACTGCGGGCCGAGGGTAATTAAAACCAAGATAGCAATGCACAATTTGCAATAAAACCTCCAAACACATCTATTGTGTATGTAGTGTGTGACAAAAGGGCAACTTACCATTTATGGTTACAAGAGCCACAATTGCGTCGGGTGAAACCTCAACCTTACCTGCTGGGCAGTCACACACATGGTCTGGCCTTTGCACAGGCAACAGCCGAACTAACATTAAAACACACAATATATATAAAAAGAATTAGAAATTAACTGATACACAATAAATATACAATAACAGCACCCACTCATACTCATACATAGCAAGAAATGCATAAGACTTCAAAACTGTACCTATTGGCTTGTGAAACTCTGATGAAGGCTGCAAAAACCCTCCTGTTACTGCCTCTCTGTTGTGCAGGACAAAGCGTGTGTGAACTGCAATATCACAGTCAGCACAAAGGAATGGAAGAGGCAGGCAGTCCAGACACCTCACAACTACTTGTTTGCCACACTGACACACACGGTGTGACTGTGGATCCAGAGTAGCTAACATATTGTCTATAAGACAAGGCCTGGCCTCTTTCCACTTTTGCGAGGACACCATATTTCTGATCGCCCAGTGAGTAGCAGCTGACTCAGACGACGTCTCACAAGTCATGGCTGCGTCCTCTTCTCCATCCTCCAACAACTGAAGGAGCTCCTGACGAAGCACCTCAGTTCCATACACTAAAAGAAAAAAAAATAAAGAAAGGAAGAAACTCTTCCACAAAGTGAAAAACACTCTAGGCAGTATGTTTCTTAGGACTCCACAAAAGCCCTGCACAACTCAACTATAACAACAAATATAAAAGTAAACAGAAATCACAATATATACAAGAAGGTAAAGTACCTTTTGTTGGGTTGACACTGGCAACATAACTAGGTTCTTCACGTGGACATTGATGCTGCTCTCTGGACACGGGGGGGGGGGGGGGGATGAAGAATATTTACTTACTGAAATTCTTTGGTGAAAATAAGTTGTGAGATAAAATCAATGGTTGTGTGAACACTGACCACGTGGCATGCAACTAGTACTTCGACTGGTTGATGGTCTTTGAGGAATAAAAGCTCCCTGTCTGTCACGTTTTTTCCAGCGCACTGGTCTTGGCTGAGGTTCACTCTGTGCATCATTCTACGCAATTAACAAGGAAAAAAGGGAACACCTAAAATACAGTCTATGATTAAAGCAAAGATTATCAAACATCTTAAGTTAACCAACTTAATTTGACATAAACTTTAAAAAAAATTCAAATAACATAACGTTTACTCCGTACAAAATATTAGACAAGCATGTTCCCTCTTTAACAACTGTTTCCACTAAAAATGTTACCTGCATATCTTGAAGGAGTTCGTCAGCAGCCTGAAGCTCTTCCTCCAGCTCGGGATCCTCTGAATCACTCATTTTCAAGCTAAAGAGGAAAGAGATTTTTGCAGAACTCAGTGACATAAACACATAACTAACGCAATTCAAATGATTTTCAGTCTTGGCGCTCCGGTTAATGTTAGCAATTAACGTTAGCATCATCAGTTTGTAAAGAGCTAGCAGAACTCTTAGCGCAAAAACTGCTTTACGCACCATGTGAGGGTATTTTGCAGCACACAAGTCCTTTAACGTTTGTAATAGATTTAATCCATCATCGTTGGATTAAATGGCTAATGCTGCAGTAGACACGTGTAGTTGTTACCTAGCAAGCATGCTGACGGTAGCTGTAGCCATTTTTAAATACATTACACCGTTTCCGAGATCAGTCACCTCTGTTTGTTTGAAGCTTTTATGAAAAAACAAACTTTGAAACACACATCAAGGTATTACTTTAAATATATGTATTTTTTACATACTTGCATTAGAATCAATCAGTTCCGCCTCATTTTCTTATTCTTATAAATGGGTCTCTCCGTTCTCCCATCAGCCTTTGCTTACACAGGTTGCGTCTGATTGGCTGGAGCCGAGCGCATCCAAAACTAACAGGAGTGGTGAATGAATCTATAAATGTGTTTTACGTGTGAAATGAAAATAATAAACCTAACAAAGGATTATGTACGTTA